GAAAGAAGAATTCTATAAGAATTCTCTAAGAGAGAATTCTAATTAATTAGAGAGTCAGATTTTCACAATTACCCATCTACTGAATATAAATGAAAATATATATATATAATTTTGTGAGATAGTTTTGAAAATTTATATGTAAATAGCAACTTTAGTTGTTTAACTAATATTAATATCTGAAATGCTTGAAATTTGTAATTTTTAATTAAACATTTATGTTCTAAATATTTTGCAGGTTCTGTTGTCATGCTTCATGATAACTGCACATTGTATTTGTAATTTATTAATATTCATAAAAATATTTATTACTAACCTTAATCAATTTTTATAAATTACCTTTCTTTACAGCTTTAATTGCATTTTATTATATTAATAATTATTATTGCCCAAATCTTTGCAACATACTTTATATCAATTTAAAAATAAATGAGTGAGTTGCGCTTACTTAATTATTTCAGCTCATGTCATATTTACATATTTATAATATACAAAAAAGTTATAACTTAAATGTTCCCAAATCTTAATTTATTACACGGTGTTATACATAGTATGTATACGAGATTACCAGATTGTTATTAAACAACTAATAAACAATAGGAATATTTTTAGCAAACATTCTGGGGATGGATTATGAAGAAGACGAACAATCGTCCAAATGCATGGCTATTATATATTATGTATTTAACGGTTCCATTTATAATTTATGGCTGGCATCTTCATAAGAGAGTCAAAGAGGTAGCAGTTTTTAAATTTTGTGGGCTTCTGTGTATTCCACCAAACCATGAAAATCTTATTTAGAAAATCTGGCTATTGCTATTAGTGAATCTGTGTACCAACCTAATTTTATCCCTTAAAAATTGTTTCCAATACCCTTATCCTTCCTATTTTCTTTCTCTCTCCCATATAGGATGGTGTGTTTTTAAGATTAGTCAAATATACCAACAAACATCCCTGGTTGTGGGCAGTCTATGTGATAGTTATAGGCTTGCCAATAGTTCTCTTCATTAGTTTCTGCTGTACGTCATCCACTAGTCAGGTAATCCCAAAACTGCCTTTTTTTTTATTTTATTTTTTAACTTTTTTATTGTACAGTAGTAAATTTGTCAAATTTATTTGTGGCACAATTATAATTTTATGCATTGCGTAAAACAGGAAAAGAAGGAAGAAGCAATCCGGGCTAAGCGAAAGAAAACTGATGAACCCACACCGGATGACATTCCGGCCAGTGAAGTCAAGAAGGAAGTCAGAGAAACAACTCCAATTAGAATTGAAGAAGTAAAAGAGACAGAAATTATTCCAGAAAGTAGCGAACAGGAAGAAAAGAGCAAGGAATCTGATGTGGAAGAAAAAGAAGAGGAACTACAGAAAGAAGAAAATACTAATGATGTCAAGAATGAAGTAGAGGAAGAGAAACTTGTCGAACTTGAAAGTGAAGAAGAAGAGGAGGAGGAAGAAGAAGAGGAGGATGACGATGATAAGAAAGATGAGGAAAAAGAAGAAAAAGAGGTAAGATTTGATATTTTTTTTAGTAGTTAAAGACAAGGCTATAATTTTTAATTGAAAAAACAAAAAGTGTAAATATGTAATCCAAAAATAGTTTCCTTAACAAATTTTGTTTAATTTTTACCATTATGTAGTTGAACTGTTAAGCTTGATTTTTATGAAATGTTGAGTAAAAGGAGCAAAATGTCTTACAAAAAACTGCTTAGATGCATATCTTTAAATCATTTATACTTCTCAACGAACCTAAAAGGATTGGGTCGACTGATTACATAGTTCATCAATTAATAGACTTGTCATTTTCTAAACTAAGAATAAAAGCTTCAAATCAGAGCAAGTTTGCATTAATTGTGTATTGGCTCATATTGGAATCAATTCCTTTCCTATAATATTTCTACTTAATTTGTATGGTACTTTACTAAAAAAAATGCAAATATCATATTTTGGGGAATAACTTGCTTGTGAACTTTCAGAAAGGAGTTGTGGAAACGCCACAATTAACAATCACACTGTCTGTATTAGTGTCATTTTCACAAAAAGCTTATATAAATGCTTCATTAAAATTTCAACGAAACTTTATAATTTGTCATAAGCATTTCCCTTGAAGTATATTACTTTGGTATCTGTGTCAAGTTTGTGTTTAAAAGGTTTAGAAACATGCAAACAAAAGTTTGATATTAAAGCAAGAAGTGGACACACAAGTATTCTCTAAGTTGTCATTTTAGAAATGGGAAAAGGCATCAAGTTAAAGCAGACTGTGGTTTTAAAAGAGGCAGGATAGTTGGATGGTGAGAGAACATGTTTGTCTATCTCCAGAAACATGTTAATGAAACAAACAGCATTGCTACTAAATAAAACTAAACAATAAATAGAAATGTATAATTTTCCAAGAAGAGGACCTTTTAAAATGCAGGAGAGTGGGTAGCAATGTCTTGTCTCCCACTTCTGATAAAATTGGAGTGGTGACATCATAAAGTATTCATAAAACATCTGAAACAAGTTCTGTTGTTTAATTTTATTATAAAACAATTATTTTAATTATAAAATTGTCTTAGTAGAGTGCTTTGTCCACCCCTGCTTATTAAACAATTATGTGATTGAAAAGTGTATTGTGACAATTTTAAGCTGTCAAGATGCACTTTTCCATCATATAAAATTTATATATATATATGTATAGAATAATCTGATAAAGTGGAGTTTTTCTGTTTTGAATATTAATACACTAGCAGATGAGCCTGGTGTTGCTCAGGCAAAAAGTAACAATAGCAAAGATTAAGAGTATTAGATTATAGCCGGTCCTGCCCATTTTCACCGGGTGCAAGAATTAGGTCCCACTCTTTCGAGACTAATTAGAGAATTTTTAAATGGGTCTAAAAATATGTTCGATTTTCTGAAAAAATGCAAAAAACTACATCTAAAATAGTACAGTAGAAGCAGAGTTCTTCAGGGTAATCCTTAACTCTCTCCCACGGGGGAATTTCCAAAAATCCCTTCTTAATGTGCATTCTCACGGCATATCCTGTGTGCCAAATTTCAACTTTAAACTCCTAATTGTTTGGGCTCTGCACTTATTATCATCATCATCATCTCATCTCAATTATATTTCTCATTCAGTAGAATATAATCTGTATAATTGACAGAATCTACCATTTTGCCTGCTGTGTACACACTATACATTCTTTTCATTTGGCTTTTCTAGCATATCTGGTTAGCACAGTATATTTTTTTTTACAGGTTTTAGCAAAACCGTGCAACTGTAAAGGTCTGCTTAAAAATTGCCCACCTGTGAACCAGAAGCACTCACTGTTGACAACCACGTTATTGTATGAATGCACCAATTGGTTGGAGATTGGTCTATAGTATTTAGAGGATTATCCAGAAGTCTTAAATTACACACAATCTGTAGCAGTTTACATATTAATAATATGCATAGCAGAGTTAAATATTGTTTATTTGGACTTATGGTAGTATGCGAGTAACCTCAATATTATTTTGAGACAGCAAAGGATGTAGAGGTTACTCGCATACTACCATAAGTCCAAATAAACAATATTTAATTTGTCCTGTGTTATTCTTGACAATTCTCGGGGTCGTGACCTCTGAACCTCGTTACAGTATCGGTACATTTTTGGAACTAGATGTCACTAGTCATTAAATTTTTATATTAAAACTAACTACCAAAATATAATTTTTTTTGTTTTTATATTTATTAATATATCTATTTTGTTTGTGAAAAATAAAAAAATAATTTTGGGTGATAAAATAGCCATGATTACTTTTTTAAAAACATGTAATTTTCATTAGGCTTAACATCAACAAAAGTCAACGTGGCATCACAATGGAGAAGAATTTCAACATTGGATAGGTTAAAAAAAATCAAAAGGGCATAGAGGTTACTCGCAATCTACCATAGGTCCAAATACACAATTTTTTAACTCTTGTGAAATAATTAGATTAATATGCATTATTATGGTTTAGTAAAAGAAGAAAAAAGCATAAAGGTATGCTTGGAGGTAGTCTGATATTCCTATCAGAATATAAAGAATGTAGCTTTAAAGGACATCACATTGACAAATACAATCTTTGCTTTATCATTGAGGGTTGATTTGGTAGCTTTACCTATTTTTAAAGTGACAATTTACAGAACACTAACATTTGCATTTCTCATTTTAATATTGCACTTTCACTTGTGCATTTCTAAACTTGAATCTGATGCAGATCATACCAACAACACTAAATATAAGCATTTCCCATGGAATAGTTTATCTAAATTTTTCAAATGGTGTTAAAATTTAGATAAACACCATTTGAAAAATTTTCATACCAGGAATTATTCAGTATGAATAATTCTTGGTATGAAAATGTGATTTTCACTGCTTATTTTATTCAAAAGAAACAATAATCTAATCCCATTTAAAATGTGAAAAAAGCCATGGCCATCAACATTTCTACAACTTAGTTTAGACAGGTAAATTAGCCATCTTTTCAATTATAATTAACAAGCACGGTTTATCTGCTCCTCGTTCATTGTGGGAAATCCCTTAACCTGTTCTGCTTGTTCCCGAATATTTTCATTGACCTCATTTGACCTGCTCTGCCGATCCCAAATATACTCGTATCTGCATCGGGATGTTTTTGATACTAAATGTTGCTATGCATCATAATTTTTATGTTAAAACAAACTTTTGAAATATAATGTTTATTGTTTTTATATTTTTCAATATATATATTTTGCTTGTGCAAAATAAAAAAAAAATAATTTTTAATGATACAGTAGCCATGATTATTATTTAAAAAAATTTTTTTCGTCAGGCTTAACATTGACAAAAATTTCATCATGGGATAGGTTAAACATAGTAGACTGCCTGGAAAGCACCCTGTTAGGTTCTCAACATAGGAAGAAGTCACAGGTCAAAATGAACCATGGTTCATTTAAAAAAAATTTCCTTTCGTCTAGGAAAAGAAAAAAATTTCAGAGTACTCTCGAACATCTTTTAAAAATGAGAGTATTCATTAATGCTTTCACAAAAAGTTTATATTCCTAATGTCTCAACACAGTAATATAGACAGCATGCCTGTTGATCCAGGTGTTTTTATCGCCTTTCAAAAGTTTAGATTGTCATCTAAAATAGTACAGATATTACAAAAATTTTGAGTGTCTTTGTTATTAAAACCAGCAACTGGAAGAAATAGTTATGCAGGTAGATGTCTGACCAAAAATAATGCTTTTAAAAGTATTCTTATCTACATAAATGATTGTGCAATGAAGCAACAAAATGAGATTCAACTGTATGTTTGCTAGTTCTGTAACTATTGATATATTTTCACTACTATTAGTCCCCCATTTCATGCAGGGTATACAAAATTATTATATAGTTAAGCAATAAGTGTAAGAAACTATAAATCTAGATCATTTTACTCTTGTGTAGTTACCTATTTATTTTCTTATTTTTTTAATGGTCGATAACTGCCTTTCGGCAAAACAAAAAAATAATAGTAATTAGAATTTCAATTCTTTGTAAAATGGACCGAGTAAAAATTGTTGTTGTGGGTGGAAATGGTACTAACTAGTTCTTTCTTTTGCAGGAATCACAATCTCAGAATGGAGAGGAGGAAGGAAAATCCTCGCCGAAACGCAAGGCCAGGAGAGAGTGAGGGGGAGATTTTAGTGATGACTGGACTTATCCAAATTACTTTATCAAACACCGAAATATATATATTTGGGATCATTTTTGCCAAAAGCGTTACTACTGAAGTGCCTAGTCAGTGGATAGTGTCGGACGGCAATTTGGCCAAACGCGTTCCCTTTCGTTCAGGCCACTGACTATTGCACGGTTACATTAGCGGTACATCTCGTTTCTATTTAACCAGGCTTTCGACATTTATATTTGTAAAAACAATTACTACCGTTCTTCGAGTCAAATTCTTCTTCGGTGCACGGTTTATGCCCTTTTCTTTGCAGAGTGAGTTCGAAGTTTAAGTTGCGCGCGTTGTTGCATTATTTATAGGAATGGGAATACGTAAGTATTGTTATATAGTCGTTAAAATGATAGTTATATTAGGTCGAGATATTAGTTTTAATTCTAAATTGTTTCTTGTATTATAAAATGCTCTTCTAGAACCTTTGTTACTTTAATTTTGTTCGATTGTCTGGAGGCAACAGAGTAAATGTCTGCTTTTCGTCGTGGCACGCAATTTGGACTCCCCCCGAACTGAAAGCTGTGTTGCACGAATGTTAGTTTCGTCCTCTCCAGCTTTCGTAAAGACTATGGTCTCTGTTTTTTAAAAAGACTTCGCAAAATTTGGAATCAAAAGTGTCCAGGGCTCCGTGCATTATAACAGGTATTTTTGGCAGCACCCGCCATTCTTATTTATAAGCTACAAACACGTGGAAGTTGCGTAGGGCCTGTATCATGCAGATTCAATGCCGAATTTCTTTGTGTTCGTTCTAGTTATTTTGTCTGAGTAGTTGCCGCAGTAGATCCCCCTCCCCGTATGTTATTTTTCTGACATAAATGCACCGCCGAAAGAATCTGTAACGAGTTTACTTTGTGTATTTTTCGATGTTACAAAATTTTTTTTTCTATTGTAAGATTACTTTAAGTAATTAAAAGTTCCAAAATGTATATGTTAGATTCTGTAGAGTTTTTATTATTTGCCACTTGGAAAAGGCAACTTAACGCATCTTGATATTGACCATCATTTCTTCAGCTTCTTCTGCTAATTCCTCTGCTCTGTTATACACCATCATCTATAAATTAATAAAATGTTTATAATCCAATTATTTATTCAAAATTCACATAACACATCAGAGCCATTGTGATAACTGAGTTTCAGAAAGCTTGTTCACAAAAGACCATACTCACCTTGGCAGCAGAAACAATCTGTGAAGCTGTTCGCCTGGGCAAGTAATCCACCTTTTGCACTAATTCCAAGGGATCCACCCGGGCCACTTCGGCTAGGGTTCGAAAACCTGCCCGATACAACTGACGAGCTCGACCCTGAATAAAAAGGCCAAAGCTTTACTTCAAGAGAAATAGGATGGTTATTTAAACTATCTCTCCCTCTTACTCTCTTGACTCCCGGAAGTTCCATTAGGGGGACCAGTTCGGCCGTGACGCAATAAGACAACTGGTGGACAAACTCTGGAAAAATCTGTTGGTAGGGCCAAAACTCTTCTAGTTCCTGTGGTTCCCGGTAGAAAAGGTAAATCATTTGTTAAGACCAAAAACTATAAAGTGTGGTTGTTGGAGCCTTACTTGAGAAAAATGAAGAAGACTGGCGGCAAAGGAGACAGAATTGGCCAACAAATTCTGCACGGTGCCGCGGTGGATCCCAAACTTTAGCGAGACTTCCCATGGGGATTTTTGTCTCCAAAGATCGTACAGCATTAAAGTCGAATAAAAGCGATTCACCACTTTCTCTTTGCAACTCTGAAAAAAAACCTCGTTAAGTGCTAGGCCATGGAAAGCAGTCCCGATAAGCCAATAGAATTACATTGACGGGACGACCGCTGACCAATCCAACCACTTGAGATTCTGTCACTCCTATTAATTGGGCAGTGTGAAGATCATCTCCACTTAGTTCCATGTACTGAAACGAAACGGAATTAAACGCCATTAGTTATTTGGTAAAATTGTGGGTGGAGTCACGAGTCCCCCGTCCGTCATTCTTAAACGGGGGAAGGAAAACTCACCATCCTTAATGTAGGTACCAGCTTAAACACCACACGCAAACTTTCTATGCCGTGTTCTTTCGGTACCACCAGCAAAAAATAATAATAATAGTACTTACTGCGTCAAAATAAACATTCGGAAGGACAGAAATCTGTGAATGATATACGGGAGTCACCAGATACAAGAGATGTAAATGAGAACGAAGAGAGAGGCATTTCTGGGCATTTTTTAAATCGTCGTAGATCCTATTGGCCAGCTCCAGATCAACCCCACCTACAAAAAATATTTAGAGAGCACATATTCTTACTGTAGTTACAAAAGTTAGACAATACAAATGCAAGATGATATTAAATTTTCAAGAAATATCAAACAAAAAGCTTCAAATGTCATTAGCCTTATCCACCATTTTATTCTAATTTTGCATTTCAGTTAAGAAGAACAAACACTATAAATTATAACTCATATGAGAGAGGAAATGCAATTTTTCTATCTTTTTAAAATGTTATGTCCAACCTTTCTTGAGTATGACATGACACCAACACATACATACACGAACTTTTTTGTGTTTGCCATGTTTTAAGAACTCCCGATTTGCAAAAAACTGTGAGGGTAAAATTTGATACGATTCCAATTGTTTCCCTTGTTATGCATATGTAATAGTCGGAAAAGTAAAATTGAGAATGCTTAGAAATGTATTTAACTCATTGCTGTGGAATGTTTAACTGAAATGGTGAAAATACAAGAAATACAAGACATTTCTTTCTTCAACCCTTTACTTAAAGATCAAAACACTTCCTGTCCTTTGCACACTTACACAATACAAACAACACGCCCCTTGCTAAAAGGAAAATGGCAAATGTGTATTCACGGTGTTGCTACAGTCCTTAAGACTATCGCAGTGTTTTCTTTTTATAGATTAATCTTCATATTTAGTAAAGTTTATTTAAACGTTTTTTCACCGTAGATATTACTTACCTATGAATTATTATTTTGTTTGTAAAAATGACAAGTGAAATATTGGTATTCTAACACAAATTCTGGAAAAAGTCTCTCAGTACTCGACCCGCTAGAAAATTTTTTTGCGATAAAAATCAAAAATATGAAAACGTTGCCAATATTTCTGATTGAGATGAAGACAATACTCTGTAAAAAGAAAACACCCCCTTTAACTAAAATTAATATTAATGCATAATACAGTACTTTATCGATTGCTTTAATAAACATATTAATTTATTTCTCTTAGTAACAGCAAAAGCATACTAACTCTATTATTTTTTAATTTCCAGAACTTATGTTTTTCACTAGTCCTTTGTTTCATATAGTATGACACTTTTTTACAGGGCTGTGGAGTCGCGTAAAAATCTACCGACTCCAACTCCGACTTTTCCTTATCAATCCGACTCCGGCTAAAACACCAAAACTTCACGACTCCGACTCCGACTCCACAGCCCTGCCAGGGCTGTAGAGTTGCGTAAAAATCTACCGACTCTGGCTAAAACACCAAAACTCCACAACTCCGACTCCACAGCCCTGCTTTTTTTGGAACATAACCACCACAGTTTAATCCTCTCTTTACCGGATGAGTTTCACAGTAATGCTTTTCGTCACAGATATAGAGTTATGTGGTGGCAAGAAAAGGAAAACAAAATTGTCGTTAAAGCTTCCGGAAATGGGTCTTTGCAAGTGGTCTATAACAGAAGTTTGGACAGATCCGTCTATCGGACAATACCTCTACTTTTGCTACAATCCATTTTATATATTCAATACAATCAAACTCCAGTTAACAACCAAGTTCTAACAAAGAAAAAGAAAGAAAGAAACTTCGGTTTAGACTCGAACTTTGCTCTGCACCGACCATCCGAGTAACGACTCCCATTTTGAATAATTTTTCTAAATTTATTCATTTGAATTTAATTTCTAATTATCAATCTTTAACACAACAATCTCTCCATATTTGGATATATATTAAGTTATCAGATTAGTGAGGTTTTTAAGCTTAATTGAAGTTTGATTCAAGACTAAATAAAACAAATGGTGGCTGGAAGAATTGAAAGATAGGATGAATTATAATCCATACACTATATTTTGTACTATGCTAAAACTTAAGTTTTAGTAAAACAGACAGTTTTTTATTTCTAATAATTTGATAAAATTGCCAAGATGGTGATTCTAAAGTTAACAAAACTATTAAATCAGTTTACGTACGGTCCCAAACATATTCCACCATACCTCAATCAATCAACCGACCATCAAATAGCAAATTAACGAACTTAATTTTTAGTCTCTACTTACACAAAATAACTTCAAAATAAAATTCTTTCAAATTATATATTTTTAAACTAGGGTTTGATAAATTGTAAAGCCAAAATCCTGTGGCCGGTGGTGGTACAATGTGGAAATTATAGTTTGTTCTATAACTGCTTAATTTTTGGAAAAAAAATAATGTCTTTCTGGCAATTTTATAATTTTCCCAAACCAAATAGATCCCTAGAAACGGAAGATAATTTCGACTTCGACAATGACGGACGTCTCGTGGAACAAGATTTGTAAATGTGTGCATGATATCAATTATATTATCTAATTGGTAAAATTGTTAAAGAGAATGCAATTGTCTGTCTTTCTCTAATCTAATGCAGCAGACGTGTAAAAACATTTTTAAAATTGTTTAGCAATAATTTAAGATTTTTTCTGATTATTGATCTATCTCGACAAATAAAATATACACTAGATTTTGTAACATTTAATCGTTTCAAATTTCAGTGTATATTTTATTTTATTAAAAAATTATTTTACCTTTAAAGGTTGCTTTTCCCAAATTTGTAATTTGAAGAATTTCATCTCCTTCCTTCTGTTTAAATTTAATAAAACCGTTTTCCTCCAATGATACCAATGAATCGTGAACGATACTGTTAGATGTCAATTCGTCGTGTTGGGTCTGAATCGACAATAATGTCGATTTCACAAAATCTTTCAGGCGGTCGCTTGATGTTGCTATCTGAAAATGTGCGATATTATGACAATAAATACATGTAATACAATTATGACAACATAAGGAAACTTTGAGAGACTAGCCTGTAATCCAATTAAACTTAAAATGAGAACTTTCAGTCCTTTGCCTCCGTCGTACAGCAGACTACTCCGGCAATTCTCTACTGAAGAATTAAGAAGTTCTCGTACCTGTATATAAGATGGAACGGAAGTTCAATTTTCTTTGAATATTTAATGTTCTGGATGTAACAGATTACCTTTTGTCCCTCTTCCGGTCTCGTTATAAGGATGCTTTCGCCCAAAGTATCCATCCCAGCCCGACCCGCTCGACCTATCATTTGCTTGTATCTGGCACGCGTGAGAAAGCTACTTCCGACGTAGGGCGCTCTTAAAATCACCCTAAAATCGTAATTTGATATCTTTACCTTTAAGACAAAGATCCTTTATATGCAAAGTGACAATTACCGTTTGGCAGGAAGATTGACGCCTGCAGCCAAGGTGGACGTACAGACCAGGCAGCAGAGCGTGCCGTCGGAGTAGGCCTCTTCGATTAACTTGCGTTCGTCGGTGGTGAGTCCGCCGTGGTGGTAAGCCACGCCATACCATACGGAAGAAGACAGCACGGGGCATACGGAACCAGAGTTTTCGTTACGGAGAGCTTTCGCCAGCAATTTCTTCTCTTCCAATTTGTATTCTCGAATGTCTCTGGAGAGAAATTTAAATATTAATTTTGCTGTAAAATTGACTTTTGTGGTTGGAAATTTGTTATGTTTACTTTGGTAAGAATTTGCTCAAGAGTTTGGCAACATTTTCACAATGTTTCTTGGTCGGGCAGAACAGTAAACAGGAATTTTCGGGAATCACTTCCAGTACCAAGCCGGCTAATCTATCGGGATCTTGTCGTTTCATTTCCGTACTATACTAGAAAAGAGATTAGTGCATTTATAAAATTTTTCAAGAAATAACAATGATTGCTTAATTAAAGTTATACAAAACAAATATTTTCTTCTTATTTATTCAATCTGCATTCTTTGTTTTATTGTTTTAATGACAAAATAAGGCATTTCTGTATGTTAGATATTAATTATCATACATTACAATGTGAGAAAACGGGCAAGGGTTAACCCTCTAGTCGTGAGACCCACTCACTAGGTCAGTGGATGGCTTAATAGGAGGGTCTTAAAATGAGTGGGGAGGTCAAGGATAAATGATAGGTGTCCTGTGCTTTTATAACAACCATTGACTAGACAGGTTAACAATCAACAAACTAAAAATTTAATTTAATTAAACAAATAAAGAGATACATAAGAACAAATATAACTATATATATATATATATATATATATATGTATGTCTAATCTACCTATACTGTTGATTTTGAGAGAGTTTACATATTCTAAAATAACTTTATGTGTTTGACATAACTCTTCCTTTCTATGGGAGGAGATAATTTGGAGACAGATATGCTTGGAGAGGTTGACAGATGAACAGATTTTGGCGGTGATTATTCGGCAGGGAGGCGGAACGAGGATGAAAGACAGAAACCAAATTATATGGGAAACTGAGGATAACCACTTTGAATCAAGGTTGCAAGACCTTTTATTCTAAATTTTTCTCCAACCGGGGGTCATTATTTTGACCATATGACAGGATGTCTAGATGAGTCGTGCCGGCCGGAAGTCTTGTCATCGGTGATGATAACATCTTGCTCAGGTAGTGGACAGCGAAAAAGGAAGTTCTATTTCCTTGTTCACATCAACTTTTTATCACCAAAAAGTGGAAAAAGCGTCTCTTTTAACAACAAAATATTACATCAAAATTTTGATTTAGGAAATAATTCTATTCCTACATTCAGATTCTCACACAATAACAGAATTTTAAAGTACAGTAGAGCATCGATTATCCGACTCAATTGGGGATTGGGATTGGTCGGATAACCGAAAAATATGAAAAAATACATTATTAGTATAGTATATTAGTATATCTCATGTAATTAGTATATCGCTATTAACCTACTTCGCGTTGAATTTTCATTGATGTTAAGCCTAACAAACATTTTTTTAAAATAATAATCGTCGCTATTGTATCTTTAAAAATTAGAAAATTAAGCCTCATTTAAATACTGGCTCCCTTTCATGGTCAAGCTATGTTGCCAGCTAAAACATGTAAAAATACTATTAAAGTAGCCAAGACATAGCCAAATATTGTAGTGCCACATCACTAGTGGACATTTGAATTTGCTGACTAGGACGGTCGGTTAACCGATGTGACGGTTGATCGGGGGTTGGATAATCGATGCTCTACTGTAGTTTTGTATTCACAATATCTGTCAATAGAAATATTAAGTAGATAACAGAATGTACAAAAAACAATTTATGTACATTCTGATATCTATCAATTGTTATTTTTAAAATCCTTGCAGCTTCCCAATTAATCATAAATTAATACCATGATCGGCTCCTTTGACACTGTGACATTTTAAAATTATCATTATCTACCTTTTATGGAATCAAAACAAATTTCATAAATATCAAATAGAAGATAAATGTTCCAAAGAGCAGTTACTACCTTTATGCATAACTACTTTCAAGATAATTACATCTGGAAACAAGACACCTTCTGTGAGTTAACAACCTGAAATATCACAAAATAAAGGAAATTTCTAGTAAAGTTTCTTTTGATAAATGGAGGTAAAATCTCTATTGATTTGGAAATGATGTGGATCTCGATTTCAATTGGCTTGGCATCACTACAGAATTATAAGAAAATGTGAAATTGGGCAGAGAAAAAAACAAGTTTACGTTCTTTTGTTTGTTACTGTAAGTGAATCGTTAATGATGATGAAATTATAAATTTTATATAGTCTTTGGCAAAAAATTAATTACTGTGTTTATTCTCACCATGACGTGCATTCCTTCTGTGAAAAGATCAAATATAAACATAATTTGTGTTTGCATAATTCATCACAAATGCCACCATTATATTGTTTGCCAAATGCAATTCAAAAGTGAGACTTTTTCTGAATATCTATCAAACTCGCAATGTTGGAAACAAGATGCTAATGCATGACCCGATAATATAAAAGATGGCATAAGAGGGTCTGTCACCAATCTCCTATGCTATGATCTTTTATTTGGGTGAAAAGAAAACTTATGGAAAGGTTGTTTCCGTAAGTTGTTTCTTAATTAAGCACTCCAAGTGTTTATATTTGAGTTAATTAATAAATTCAAGTTGTGCATATGTAGGGTTATGGTCACCCATGAACAAAGATAAATGTGTTTATCAGTTCAAAATTGAAAGCAGCTGGTGAGATCATAACTAGACTTTACTTCTAAAAACTATTTACTTATTCATTTATTTATTACTAGTAGCTCAGGACGTCCCCTAGTGGGCATTGTTTACAAATTTCCATGAGGCACGGTTCCTTTGACTTTTTTGTTCCCATCAATATGCTCTACAACTCTGTTAAAGTCCGAATTGTAAGATTTACCCTCCGAATGAAGAGGTGGCGACCTCCCCAAACCGTAGACCCCTGTACTAAAATTAAAGTCAAAGGAACCATACCCCTACTCGCGACCCTTTGAGAGATATAAGCCCCTGAAATAATAAATTCCTATTACAAATATACTGAATTATTTATATTGTTATATTGACCAAATAATAATTTATTGGCCAAATGAATAATAAAAATTTATATTGTTAATTTAAATAAGAATTAAAATTGTTAATTTGAATGTTTGAAATATGACACACGATAGGGGCACCTCTAGTGTCCGTTATCAAACGGTTACGGGACAGACACCCGTTGAATGGGTTATATATATAGATAGAAATAATAAAAATAATGTTTTCATTACTTACTGCAAACTGAAGTTTTCTAGAAAACAGCAAGGACGCCTCGCTTTTTGGATCGTGTTCCCATAATTCATCTCCTATTTTCACATACTCTTTTAATTGTACCTATTTTAAAAAAAACAATTATTACAGTGACAATCAAAAGTAAGTGGTCAGGCAAAATAATGCCACTGCAAACACTAAACGAGGCTTTTTGCGTTACTTGCCAATGCAAATTTATCAACAGTAGCATGTGAAACTATACAAATATCTAGAACAACACTATAATATCAATTATGTTAATTTTTGACAAATAATAATCTCAAAATTTAGAAAACAATTCAAGCGAGCCCAAATGTCATATTCAAAAGTAAGTAGTCACATCAATAAATCATTATACAAACCAGAGAACGAATCAACCTGATCAGTCAAGGTCATTTTAGCATTGCTAGAGAGTGCACAGACAGAGTTTCAGTAATATTATGTCGTGTTGGACAAGTTTGAGTGAAATAATCAAGCCATAAGATGCCGAAATCTGGAGAACTTCTTGTGTTTGTGATCATTGCACTGGGGAAAAGCATCAGGGCAATCGCAAGAGAGAAAAATTCATCCTACAAAGATATTCACAAGGTTATAAAGATGAAGAAATTTGGTACTGCCCAAACTCTTCATCGTTCTGGCTGGCCAAGATGCACAATGTCATGAGAATTCTGCATCATTCAGCATAAAGCAGTGTTTCTCAATTTCTAACGAATCGTCACCCTCTTCAATAAAACCGTTACATAGTATTGTCCCCTTCACTTCAAAATACCGATGCTGGGGGGGCCAAGTCTAACACCAAATTTGCACTGCATTGAATAGACTACTGACTAGTATATTATTATTTGTTTAATTATTGTACAATATAACGAATAAAATATCTAATTATTCTTACAATAATGTTTTACTATATTGCACGGAAAATTGTTTTTCTCTCTCAAAATATAAATTGTTACTAATCGCCCCCTCAAGATGGAAAAACACCCACATGGGGGTGATATCACTCCATTGAGAAACACTGGCATAAAGCCTCCACTAACCCGCAAGCCTCCACCCAGGCTATCCAGGAGAACTCTGGCGTTAAGACATATTTATCAACTGTCGTCAACTCAATGAGGTTGATTTTAAAGAATGCATCACACATTGAGTACTGTTCATTTCAAAGGAGAACATTGCAAAGAGGCTAGCCTTTACAAAGGAGGATTTAAAAAAAACCTCCTGAGTTTTGGAGTAAAGTAATTCGGTGCAACGAATAAAAATTTCAGCTTGCGGGCTCAAGACAGTGCCAAATTGCGTGGCAAATGAAGAACGCCGCCTGCAAACCTGCTAACTGCATTGGGACTGTAAAGTATTCCCAATACATGATAGCATGGGAGTGTTATTTCCTCATGGATTTCGTCTTCTAGCAAAAATCAGCTGTTGCATGGTTGCAAAAAATGTATAGGACAGCATTTAGAAAACAAGCAGAAGATGTGGTCATCAACAACGATTTTGTGTTTCAACACAACAACAACTCGAAGTATTCATTCATGTTAAGTATTTTTTGGTTTCTGAGGGGTTTGAGGTGCTAACCTGGCCACCCAGATTTCAATCCCATCAAACATCTTTGGGAGTAACTGGATCGAACAATCCTAAAATCTAAGAGAAAAAGCATACAAGTCTACTGGATGACCTTATTCGATGAATGAAGCAAAATCAACATTGAAGTTCTCGAAAAACTGGTGGATTTAATGCCATGACTCTTCTAAACTTTCAGAGAAGCCAAAGATGGGGCAACACAGAATTACTCTCTTGTTTATTAGATGTAAGTGGAATAAATCCAGTATTGTTCAGACTAACTATTTACTTTTGACATTGAGGTATATAAAAAAGCCATTTATTTAAATAAAGCAATAAGTGTAAACTTAACAATGATCACAGGAAAGATGCAAGACTTGTAATTTCACAATTTAATCCAATTTTTAACAAAGTTTAGTTTGTTAAAAACACGGCATTTTTCTCCATTTTGCATTCTGACCACTTACTTCTGACTGCTACTGTATTTTAAAAGTTTATATTTTATAATGATAAATAATTTATGAAATAAACACAACAGAATATGATACATAAATTTAATTCTTGTGAAAGCATATTAAAAAGTATCGGACACCTACTGGTCGAAAATTACAGCAGAATTTCTCAGCCTTCAAAAAAGTTTGAAGTTCTTCAATGTTACCGATGGTCGCACTCATTCCAATAATCTGGGTTTGTTCTAAATGAGATTTTAATTGTAATGGGGAAAAAAAATTATCCAATAAACTTAATGAAGTATACTTACTGAAGGAATAGATAACTTTAGTTAGAGCAGTTTCCAAAATTGCTCCTCTTCTCCCTTCTTCACCAATCATATGAAGCTGAAAAAATTTTATATTACATATTCTTTGTAAAAATAAAAAATTTAACTTTGCATATTTAAAAGGTAAACATAAAAATGATTTGCATAGATCTGGTTATGGGTTACCCATTAAGTTTTTACTACATTTTTTTACAGTAATTTCCGAGGTGTTGCACGGTTGATTATTTTATCAGGCAGCTGACTTTTAATTAAGGAGATCTTTTTATTTTAATATAAATGTTGAATGATATGCATTTAAAAATTACAACTTACTACAATTAAAAATAATACAGAATAATTTTTAAGGTACTTATGATTCTGTGAAATCTCTATGAGAAAAGTACATAGCTACAACAGAACTATTATACATTAAAAGATTAATACTGTTTCACTTTAAACATAATTACGCAAAGGCCTAACAACCTTTTCAAAAATACATTCTAGTTGTTCCACACGTGAGAATTATGAACACATCTTACTTCCTAAGTGCAAACAGTCAGAAGTCAGCCTTCTGTAGACCTACAGAACTTTACAATACAAATAAATATAATGGGTTAATTAATATCTTTAAAAAGTTCATATTATAGATAAAATTATAAAATAGAAAAGAAAATTAATTAACTAACTATTTGATATGGGTTTTTGTAGAATTACAACCTATCAATGTTACAGCATTATTGCTGCTGTTATTTGGTGTTTTCGTTTTTGTTTAAAGAATTAGAAAATGGTTTTTGACTAATAATTTTTCATTTGCACTTTTCTGTTTTATGATTGTACAATAAAATTAATATTGTATTTAGATTATAAATTATTAAAGACTTTTGAATTTTAGAAGATATAATCGTAAATTTTCTAAGGCAGCAATTCCCAACTGGGGTACGAGCTTGCTGGTTTAGGGGTACACAAAAAAAACAAAAATAATGGCAGATATACAATAAGAATATTCGTATTCTGCATTGAGACCTTTGGTGACATCACTGCACTCGATGCTTAGTTTAAATAAAAATACAATTATATTTTTATTACATTTATCTGTGTCCATCTTTACAATTTTCAATTAAAACAATCTTGTTTTACATATAATCACATAGCAGTGTATAATTGACCAAGGCACCACTGTTTGACGAACACACGAAATAAAACTTAGGAAAATAGGTTGCTAAGGAGTACACAAGTTAAAAAAGGTTGAGAACCACCGTCCACTATTCTAAGGCAAGGCATCATATTTTAATAGTAATGTTTTTATTTATTACTAGCTGCAAGGACCCGCTTCGCTGGGTTTTTATTTGTATGTAATATAGTTTTTTTATATATATAAAAGACTGTTTTTCTAAGTAATCTAGAATCTAGCTGCAAGGACCTGCTTCGCTGGGCAAAAAGTAACGATAGTGAAGATTAAAATAATTACATTATAGCTAATCTTACTCGTTTTCACAGAATGCAAGAATTAGGTCCCCCGTTTCCAGACTAATTAGAGAATTTTTACGTTTAGTCAAATGAACTATTTTCAACGTTTCTGGAACGTTTACAATCGTTCTATAATTGAACCAATATTCGAATTTTATGTTCAAATTTAATTCAAACAAATTCGAACATTGTTCGAATTAAATTCGAACAAAACATTCGAAATAGAAAGCTACTTTCAACCACTTTCAGCCTCATATCTCCCGCACCCTTATAGCTATCGAGATGCAACCACCCCTATGCACGAATGGAGACTTGGGGCTACCACCACATACAAACACCATTCACGTGCAATGTGTAGTTTTTTACGTTTAGTCAAACGAACTATATTTCACTTTTCTGCAAAGAAAAGTGAAATATAGGGACATACATGTCCATATATATATATAGATGAGTAAGATCAAATTTTAAGAAAACTTTGCTTAATACTTTAATTTTAGAAATGTTTTAAATGCTTTATTTCAAAGAATTAAAAACAAAAACTTTTTTCTGAGATTTGTAAGAATCTAATCAACCATACTTCTCACATAAGCTGATTCCTTGGACTGTTGTATTTTCTGTGTTAACAGTATAACAAATGGTAATAAATAATTGAAAGTTTGAGTTATCTGCAGAGCTCTTGGCAATCTACACGTGACTCATGTTCGTGATTTGATAGTTTTTAAGAAAAAAGTGAGAGATTCCCAGGCGACTTCGGTTTGGCAAGTCTGAAAGTGGTATGCACAGACTTCGGAACCTCATTGACTGACTCTATAGGCCATGCAGAAGTTAGTTTTTCGGGAGTTTTGTACTCTCCGGTCATTAACTCAAAGGGCATCCAATGGCCATGCAACCTCAATGACCTGGTTAATGACCAAACTACCTACACCTACTTTATCCAGCTGATTACCTAGTACTTCAGACTTGTCGCTCATCATTCCTCCACAACTCTTCCCTGATCCTCATTGCTTGGACTGCATCCCATCATCTGTATTTTATACGTGTTCTTATTTACTATCATGTACTGTATATTGTATTGTATATATTATATCTTTTTTTTTTTAATGTTCTATTATTTTTTCTTAATTATATCAATGAAATTTGTCTTGATTTAATACCAATTTTATGTATGAAATTTATCATGTTTTTATTATATCTCAAATTTATGCTATCTGTTTAATCAATCTACTTCTAACACTTTGCATTTCATGTATTTGTTTTCACGCTTGTTACCAGTTGTGCTATATGCAGTACCGGTGTTGTACTTCTTTTGTACAGCAATAAAATATCGAGTTGAGTTGAGTTGCTCTCTGGTATCCCCCCTTTTTGTCTTCCCTTCATGGGTTTTTCCTAATCAGTGCATTTCTTTCCCCAACCGGTACTCACCCTGGAATCAGGCAATGACCCACCTCCTTAGGGGCGTAGCCTGCAACTGCCAGTTTCAGCAGCTCCATTTTATCCGGATGACTTCAGGGTCATTTAGCCCCTATGTATCTCAAAAGCTGAGTTTGTATAAATATATCACTCAATAAAACCAACACCACCACATAACAAGATAAAAGAAAAATTTATGAATGTTTTCGTCTATGTGAAATAGACATCCTCAGGTATATGTGATATCGAACATACCCAAGGATGTCTATTTCACATAGATGAAAACATTCGTAAATTTTTATTTTTTCTTGTTATGTGCTGGTGTTGGTTTTATTGAGTAATACATCTATCCCCTTTCAGAATGCGACAAATTCCAGTTTAGTAGACAGAGGCTTCCTTTCCAACAACCTTTCACAATCTTTTTGGAGGGGCAATACCCCTCTCTTGCCTCCAGCTGGTGGTCCTATGTGCTGACCTTAAACGACACTTCTTTGCTCCCATCCTTCTCCACATATAATACTCCAGATTGGGGTTTCTAAGCCTCAAAACTCAACTTTTTGAGTCAGCTCTTCAGATTACAACTGTTGACAAGATTTCAATCTTTGGACGGTTGGCCCCAGATAGTGTATCTCATTCACAGCATAGACTATTATTATTACTATTAATGTATTGGAAATATATGACCACTTGAAGATGCACACCTTGCAATCATTGAAGTTTGTTGCTTCATCCAGAAAAGTTGGTGAATCCATCCTCCTCAGTGAGATGGTTTATTTCTCTATCACAAATGCAAAACCAGACGCTAATCAGCATGGACGCTTAAATATTGCCACTCTGCATCATCTTAGGGGTGGTCTTCCCATTGGACAACTTTTCAGAAGTCTTTGATATCGACCCATGCTGTAGCATCTTTGGAACAGACACATTGGGCCTACAGCAGGCAATCCAATTGGGAGCCAAACTCAATTGCCAGACAGCAATTTTTACCAACAGTCAGTCAGTGTTGCAGATGTTGTCATGTTTCCTTTTCATCTCCGATTATCATCAATCTGGCAACTTACCCTTTTCCTCTAGCCATCATCTGGACACTAGGGTATTCTGGCATAGCAATGAACAAGATGGCAGACAGGGCAGCCTGTTTCAAGAGCCCAGTTGGCTGACTCATTTTGGCAGCCACTCACACCTAGTAATCCTCTCCCCACAGATACAGTGTCAAATCAGATATTCTAACTGAGGCTTGGACAACTAGCTTTTGGGACAAACAGTGGAACAACAGACACATTGGGCCTACAGCAGGCAATCCAATTGGGAGCCAAACTCAATTGCCAGACAGCAATTTTTACCAACAGTCAGTCAGTGTTGCAAACACCTCCAGCCGTTCAATCCTTGGACCTACGAGCACACCAATTCAGATATGCAAGTGCTACTGGACCACCTCAGGACTGAATTGGCTCCACTAAACTTTTTTCTACACTCTCATGGCCTCTGCACCTCACTGGCATGCCCACATTTCTGCAAGAATGAAACAGTGCACAGCACTTGTTTTCATTGCCCGAAATACAGCCTAGCCTACCAAACCCTAGGCTCAGCCCTTGGCATCAACCCCACCTTGGTACAAGATCTCATTCCTCTCTACTGGCTGCACGCCACCTTGTCTTTCTGGAAACATGTGGCTGCACTCAAAACTTTCACCCACCAAACTGCTTGCTCCTCATAGCCACAAGTCAGCGCAGGAGTAGATAAAATAGCTGCACAGGCTGCAAATGTCTATATGAAACCCAACAACAGAAGCAGAAAAACTTTTTCCTGAACCTGAAAGAGTAATCTCATAAAAATATTCACTTCTTGGTATTGGTATATGATTTGTAACAATTTTTTTAAACATAGTTACAAATTCAAAATTATTTTATTTTTATTATCTGAAAATATACTTGAATTGTTTTTAATTTATATTTTAATTGGTGAAATGTAAATAAAATAAGTAATTGTTATGTGCAGAATTCATTAAAAATGAAAATTATTATTATTATTATTATTATTATTAATAATGTAGCAAAAACATTATGTTCTATATCACATCAAATACTCATATATATACACACACACACAAAAATTAACTATTTTTATTAGATACAATATATATATATATATAAATAAACAGACAAAGTTCTAACATCATCCTCCTCTAAACAATAGCTATTT